GTAATTAAATGACTGAATATTATACTTTAATTTGTTAGAGTTGTGTTCCGTACGGCCAAACCTGATCAACTTGTAGTCCTTGAAAGGTTTTTGGACATTTTGCTAAGAGATTCAGCATTGTCGATAATTCCTCCGACATTCTTTCAGTCTGTCGCGTTTATTTGTACATGCCCCAACATATTTTTTCTGAGTTTTTTCATGTTTATATCCTGGTGGCTGTTACTTATCACATCTGAGAGGATAATGAGCTGTCAGCCACACAAGTCTGATAAATACAATAAAAAGCAAGGAAAGTGTTTTGGTACATAGACTCTACATTGTTTTAAAAAGGAGACTCCGTTGTGGTAGGTAGCGCTACGGTGTTGTGTCTTGTAACAACAAGCACCATCGTCGACGACGTAGTTCCCTGATACCTCTATAGAGCACGCCACTATACAGGTACCATTCAGAGGAGACGTGGAGTACTGAACAAATTGGGTGTCAATGGTCACTCTCTTTGTAATTCTCAGTTCGTAATAATGATTTCTGCAATGGCATTACAAATTTGCAGGTTGGAGAGTTTGACGGAGATATGAGACACTCTCACTCTACAATGAAAATTTTGAGGTCTCTTCCTTCTGTTTGCTATTATTATTTGTTTCCCAGCCACTAGCCAATGAATTTTTGCTCTCATTATCATTTGTAGAGGACAACAGAAAGCATTTCAAACAAACACAGATACAATACAAGATACAGATCTAACCTTCATATGCCAAAATAATCAAAATATCAAAAAGGAATTTACTATACTGGAATTGAGCTATTCAGTAATCTTCCCTCCTCTATAAAATGTTTGAATCACATTGCAGAGTAGTTTAAGCCAACACTAAAAGAGTGTGGCGTAACTCACTAATTATACTCCATAGAAGAATGTACCTCAAACAAAAATTCTCAGCTATAAAAATACATGTAAAGATTGGTGACTATGCTTTCTTTTATCATTATTTTTGTGTTAATACTGTAGTAGACTGTCATAACCTTGTCATTTATATATGTGTTAGAACCAATAATTGTGTCTGAGCTATAACATCTTTGGCTTGAGCCTGTGAGTTGTATGTGGAATGTAAATTCTGATCTGTTCCATTCCTGCAAATACTTTGTTGCTGTGGACATTACTTATGTTGCAAAATCTGGACACCAAGTACATTTCGGTTGATAAAATGGTTGATTAGTCATCACCTGAAAAACATCTCTGTGATATTTATCCCCAAGTTTTTGCCGCTAATTTTTGTAACAAAAATAGGGGGGGGGGGCAGTTCAAGAAACCTGTAAGGTGAGCGGGTTGCTGTTAGGGCCCCTGCAATGCCGGCAAGTTTATCGTTTAATGGTTGTACAGTGTTTTGTGATTGGATAAAATTAAGTCGGCATCCCTCCAGTATTACCAATCACTTCTCGTTTTCCTGAGTTTCCTGTTACGCGTGCGCATAGAAGCCACAGGAAGTTCCTCTTCACGGTGTAAAACATGGCTACAGACGTGTAGTTATGACTTGACTTAAAAATAAGGATCATGGATTACCCAATTCAGGTAATATTACATGAAGTTTACATGGTGATCGCACCTAAACTTCAATATGTATTATTTTCAATTTCTTTGTCGAGTGGGTAAGTACTTTATAATATTTTAGACTGAATCTTGAAGATGATTCGTCACCATGCAGTCTTCAAAATGTCGCAGGACGAAATATGTCGGCGCACGTGGTGGCAATATTTCTGGTACTTTACAAGTATATGTATAAATTTTATAATCCTTCCAAGTATGCTTCAAAGAAATATGCTGAAGTGAGTAGAGTGATTATCAGTTTCATGTGTAAAGTTCTCTTATAAAACAGTCTATCCTAGATGAACAAGGTCGCCGGAAAATGATGTTAGGATATTGTAAAGGTGAGCTGTCTATAAGTCATACACACTTTGCAGATACAGGATATAGGTTGTGGGACATTCAGTTACAAAATAGAGCTGTTAAAGTTTGTAATCATGTTCCAAGAACTTTATCCACATTCATATAAGCTGATCGTGGTAAATTGTAAAGCGGTTTCGTTGTTTGGAAAAGACTTGGAATGTACATCACTAACCTAACCTATTCATGCAGAGGAGTTTGATTCACAGTAAAGGTATTATTAACATGAAACTGCCTGAAATTAAATTTGTTGTGCAGTTGTGCCTTTGGTTTTTGTAAGGTACTACATTTTTAATGCAATAACAAAATGCTTTGCTTGCATGCCACCAGCACAGCTTCTGTATATCCTCACTCTTAGTGTATAGATACAACCAATAGAATATTACTTTCATATAACTTCTACTTTCCCAGTAGTGCCATTGGAGGCAGTCCCCCAAAGTGTGGTACATAAAGAAAAGTAAGGGGATAAATTTAAAATTGTTCTGCTTGTCAGATGAACTCTGATCTAAACAACATTTAATAAATTTATTAATACTGGTAAAACTTGTAACTCACCTCATATCCTTTTTTAATTTGTACCTAAATCATAATGTGGTTTGACCACTAGTACCTCACTGATGCTAAATAATTTCTTATGTCCAGTGAGTTGATTTTTTGGGTGGCCATAATTCCTTTTCCTTTCAAAAAATGGAAAGTTTGGGGAAAGACTGCTATGCAATTTATGATAAAAAGGTGGCTAGCTGTTACATGTATGAAGCATACTTGTCACTGGCATTGTACAATGTATGGTTCCTGTATATTTAAACCTAGGCACAAAAGAAGTTGTGTACAACATTTGTAGATGGTTTTGACTGTTGGAAAGGTTTGCTATCTCAGAAATGCATGCAAGTCTTATATTCAATTATGTAAAGAACTTATTTTAGGCTTATGATTTTTGGTCGAACTTTCTACATATTCCAAAAAAATGTGAAGAATAGTTTCTGTACCAGAAATGTGCATTATGACTTGTGAAATACATACTGACTTATGTGAAAATAGACAATTTTTTTCTAAAATTATGAAAGGACATCACAGTAAAGGTAGTATGCTGTATTTTTTTGTAATGTTCAGTGGTTTATAAGTTATAGGTTTAGCTTAAATAAAGTGTTCAGCTATGGTATTTACACCCAGTGTTTGAATCTAGTGGGGATTGAGGTTTTTATTTTTGCCACCAATTTGAGACTGGTTCTAGTATCCACCTGGTGCCTAACCAGTGGGTACTGGGGGTAAAGTGGCCAGAGCCTGATGATGACAACTTTACCTGATCTAGTGTCAAGGTCAAGAATGTATTAATCTTTATTGCTGTATTCCCTATCCAATTTTACTGCATGGTTCTAATCATTATGGCAGATTTATCTTTTATTTTAGCCATATGTTACGATGTTGGTTGTCTTTTGAAGCATAGCCCTCCTGCTGTGTGGTCACAGTCAATACTTGGAGATTCATCACCCATGGAATTGTGCTGTGTTAGGATTTTTCATGAATGTTCATGGGGTTCTTTGTTCCTTTATCATTTAATAATATAGTAATCATCATGTAATAGATATAAAAATAATTATAAATATTTAAAATATACAGGATTTCAACTGTATACAATGGCATTTTGTTCTGCAGTCATTGTTACCAAAATACCACAAACTTCCTATCTGTTGCGCTTACCAAGAAAGAGAATGAAATTACATTGTAGAGTTAGTTTCATCTCAGCATTATTACTTAGGATCATTCTTTGTATGTGTGACTGAAATGTAATTAGTAGGATTTGAGGTTTTCATTGCAGTTATTTTGAAGATGTCTGTCTTCTGGGTTGTAGTGACTTTTAGTCTGGTAGAAGTTTACCGACATTTCAGAGGTCCTTGCTGCCTCCATTATCAGGGTGATGGAGGCAGCAAGGATCTCTGAAACGGTAAACTTCTACCAGACTACAAGGTACTACAACCCAAAAGACAGCCATCTTTGAAATGTAAATAACTCCATGGAGAAGAGAGTACTTGAGAAGATAATATCCTGTCTTATATGGAACCAAAATGTATGTTAATGTGTTCAGAAGTGCTTGCAGTGAAATGTAGATTTTTGATTCATTATAACTTTTTGATTTTTTTGCAAAATTTATTCTTTCATTGATTCACCATTGCAGGAAACAGACTTTTGGTGACTGATTGCATCCCATGCTTATTTAGTAAACTCAGGTGTAGTAGTTACAATTGGTATCATTCTGTGAACCATGTGGCTGTCAGTAAGTCTTTCTTTTGGAATTTTCATTTGTGTATTTTTTTTAAAAGTTGAGAGGAAGACGTGCTTATTTAATGAACAATTTATTTGGCCCAAGTATCCACCTGCGAAACTAAAAACCAGAACAGCGTTGTTAAATGTTTGTGCAGTAGTTTACATTTCTTTGCAATATACCTGTTCCTCATTCTGCCATGCTGTCACTATATCCCTCATTTACACTTCTACTCCTGTTCGTGCTCGCTACAGCACCTGTTTTTGCTTCGTGTCATCTTAGGGTAGGTGGGTATAGCATTGGGGGATTATATGGTGAAATAGTGAGATGACTTGAATGATTTTGGCATTTGGGTTCATTGTCACACCACTTATTATGAGTCGGATCTCTATGAAATACATATGATTAATAAACACAAGTAAATAACTTTACTGAACTTCAAATTTGTGGTACAAGGAAATATTGGTAGTTGCTTTATTTTATATGCCTTGCTCAGGACTGAGTGAGAGAAATTCAATTGGGTAGCCACTAGTGACCCCTGTCTGAATGTTATGTCTTTGTTCACACTCAGAACATTAAATTTTGTTTCTAATTGGATATCCAGTATGAATTCATCAGTGATTGGCTGCTCTGTGGCAATTCGATGTTTTCAAATATGTTTCCATGAGTATGGTGGTAGAACTTCATTTCATAAATAGTGCCACCTTGGCATTTATCCACTGTTGTCTCCAATGCTTTCAACCAAAAGATTATTCACAGAAACTGAGTTATTAATGTGGCATTGTTATGTTTCTCCTCTTTCAGGAGCTCCAGTTCCTTGATCTATCGGATGCTGATGAAGAAGAATGTAATTTCCTTCAGACTACACTTTTCCCAAGGAATCCAAACTTGCTTTCCCCAGAATTGCCATGGGTGACACATTCTGATTCCTCATGCACACCTGCAGAATGGAGACCTGCTCCTTACGGTAAAGAGCTTTAAATGTATTTCACATTCTTCATACCATGTTGTAATTTTTATGTACTATGATTATGCCAAGTATCACGTTCTGCTTTATTCACAGTATTTCAGACATCGTAAGTTATTTGCCATCATATTAACTGGTAATATTAATGATAACTTGCTATATTGAGGGTTCAATTTAAAGATGTGGTATAAATAAGGTATTCTTTTGCTTAGCCCAGTGGTGTCATCCTGTTCCATATTACAAAAATATTCAAATTATCAAGCAGAACAGCTGTACAATACAGGCTTAAATCTTGTGTACAATGAGGATGGACATTTACATGTACAAGGTGGTTTGCAACTATTTTCTTTTAGTTTTTAAATATTTTTTAACTTATTAACTGCATTATATGTTCAAACTGTTAAGGATTTCTCAGTATGTTCAAACAATTTAACATACTGCTTTTTATTCAGGGCTGCAAAAATGTAGTTGTATTCGTGACATACATGAAATTTTAAATATTTTTTATGATGCATATTAGGTTTTAGTAATTTAAAATTGTCAGTGTTATATCATCTGGATTATAAACTGACCTTTTCAAAGAGATTTAAAGTGCTGTTTTTCTTTAAATTGTTCAAGAGATATGTTCATGCACAATACTTTTCTGACCCTGGATGTTTGTTTGTGCATATGTGCCCTGAGAGTTTGTGGCTAAAATTTGGGAAATGTTTATTTCTAATAGTAGCAGTCTCATACTGCTTTATTGTATCTGTTAACTTAAACAAACTCTAAGTAATTATTTTGTGAAAGGATGGCATATGCACTTATTTTTGCTGAAGGGATCTTTACAGTTGTGAATGGTTACATCAGACTTTGATCGTAGTGTACTTGGAAGAGTCTGAGCTAAAGCTGAACAACTATTTATGAAATGCAGTTATGCAATTTGAACAATGACTGTGGACTGCCTAAAAGCAGATAAAAAAAACATGGTATAGTTAATAATAGGTGTATTTCTAATATTGTTTCCGTCATAAAATTGGTTGTGGTTGTGCTGTTGGCCAGATGTATTTCTAATATTGTTTCCATCGTAAAATTGGTTGTGGTTGTGCTGTTGGCTTTCTGATTAATGTACATAAAGCCTGTATTTGAGGCTTGTTTTGTGTAGAATTTAAGTTCTATTGGTTGGGTTTTATTGAAGTTATCCATTTCTCGTGTCATTTTCACCAATATGGTTAGCAATCCGTTTGTCACAAGGAACATTTTAATCCACTGTTGATGAATAATGTAACAGAATGGCCCCCAATGGCTACCTCACAAGTCAGACGTGATCAACTTTTCTAGATGGTCTTGGTTTTTCGTAACTTATGAGCCAGTAGTCATAGTATGCCTCTGCCTTTTAAAATATGTTTCAAGGGATCAGGCTTCTTCCACTTACACAGCACACTCATTTTCTTGGATAAGTTTTTGTCATTGGAGTAGTACATTAAAATTTCCTTGTGCATGATCTCTGGCCTGTGCCTGTAACTTGTTAAATGACTTTTTGATCTTGAAGATGTTAGTGTTGGATTGGTCTTAAGACAGATGTGTAATCATTTTTATGTTACATTCTTAAACCCGTTATTTTTATTTTTTGTGACATGCTGTTTCTTACACACAGGCATATAAATTTTTCCAGCCCTGAATATACTTGTCAGATCTCAATAAATTATCTTTATGAAAATTAGCTGTTTTACTCATAGATATTTGTAGTCAATTTTTCCTCAATCAGTGAATGATTGTCTGAATAAATATCTGAGCAGAGGATTTTTCTTGATTCTCAATAGCTGTGGCCCCCATCCCCCACCCTACTCTGAGGGGTGTCTTTCTCCCCCCACCAATGTATGCCCCAGGTCCTCCGGCTCTGGGGCTTGTGCCTACAGTTCCAGGTAAAATACATTGATATAACCCTGTAGTGTGTTTTATTTAATTGCTGAACATTTGTGATTGTGCATTTGAGTTGTGGGTAAACTATGTAATAGCTGTACAGTTTTGAACCAGGGCTGTGGAGTCAGAAGCAGTTTTAGGTGGAGTCCGAGTCGGTAAAAATGTACTGACTCCGACCTCGATGTAAAATTTTAAGAAAATACTATTTTAACACTTTCACTACCATGTGAGCTGCCGGCGGCCTCACGCTTAGCGAGATTCAATGATGCGTTGAGCCACATTGTGTGGTAATAATGCTTTGTAACTTTGGCTCCAGTACCTTATGAATGCAAACCATCTACAAATCAACCAATTTCTGCAATTACCGTTAGACTTATATTTAAATATATGTGATGAAATCTCTTATGGTACCATTTACCATTTTAGTAGGTTTACCATTATTAATACATATTGAGCTTTTATGAAGGAGTTGGAGGTTTTAGTACCAACTCCACAGCCCTGTTTTGAACTCTTTCTCTCTCTCTCACAAAGATTTTGTAAAATATTTGGCTGTTTTTAATGGAATGAGCCGTTTGTTTATTTTAACTATTTTGTGTTTTCTGTTGTTACTGGTTTGCCTACTTCTGAAAAATGTTGGTGCATGAACAATGGCAGCTACAGTACATGACCTTTATTAAGCTGATTTTTTACCTATTTAACCTGCTTTTGAGTGTAATTTGACTTTTTCCTGCCAAATGTATGCTGT